GCTTTGTATTGCAAAATATATTTGAGTATATTAAGTCTTCTGCTAAAACCAATCTTCCTATTATTATTTTAAACAATTTTTTTTTTGCTGGCCTTGCGAAACGTTTAACAATTGTTTATTTTGAATACTAAAATAAAATTATAATTTAACAAAAATATACATCACATCTTTGGCCGCGTGTAAAACTCTATGTCTGTGCTTGCTGCAGTTGTGTCTATATTGTGTTTACATCAAAATAATTCTAAAACAAAATCTGCACTCTAGAAGTACGCATACGAGTCCACGTACGTGGATGGAAATTTGGGTTGACTGTGGGACGCAGTACTATTTGATCATCTTCTTCTATGTCATCGAATTCGACAAGCATGCGAGAGGCCGGATAGATCCTTTCTCCATTCCAATAGTTAACGACGTGACGACAATTTGGGCAGTTATTGTTGTGCTGCAGCCATCTGTGCAGGCAAGCCTTGTGGAACCAGTGGCTGCATGGTAGACGATAGGCGCCGCTCAAACCACCTTCCTTAGTGTTCTCCAAGCAAATTGTGCATTCAGCAGTGTCTGCTAGACGATCATATTGATACTGCAGCCACTTGTGTGTGATATATCCTTTGAAGTGGCACAGTGACGAGATGAGAATCAAAATAGCCGGAAGGAAAATTGAAATTAAAAAACACATTATAATAAAATCATCAAAGCAGATCATTGTGTCGCTATGCTGATTATCTCTTCAAATCTTGATTATGTATATAAAAATGCCCCCGAGCAGAAAATAAAAATATAAATTTTAGAAAGAATACTTATTTCACCAAATCAGTAATAATTTTTGAGGCTCTGACAAGTTACATACTCTCAACTATATGGAGTATACTGAGCAATAATTTCTGGGTTGCTATGATCGTTATATATTTTCAGTTAATTCAAACATTTTGAAAGCTATGAAACCGTTAACTATAACGCATTTTTTCGAAAATTAGGGAACAAGCAAGGGAGTGCCCATAATATAATTTTAAAGTGCAATCGATATATAATTAGCTGCTGCGATAGTTTTGCAGCAGTATGGCAGCTCTCGCTCATCAAACATATGTTTTCCGCTGACAAAACATCGATAAGTGAAAGTTTCCGTCGCAAATTATGAAATGATTCAATTGAGAAAGAAAAATTAAGAAAGAAGTAAAGTTATAAATTTAAAAAAGTATTTAATTTATTAAGTTGCATTTTATGCTATCTTTTAAATGCTTATATTTTATAAACCTGACAGAGTGTCCAATCGATGTATCGCTTGCTGGCAACATTAAAAACAATCGATATATTTTATGATACCATCCCTTTCTCTTTACAGATTTAGTCGTGTTTATATTTTTAATTAACGACGTTTAATAATACTATTTTAGGCGGCGTTCCACACAATGACTGATACACCGAAGACGCCAAGCACTCCTGGCAGCCGGGCCATGGAAGTTGCCAAAGTGCAGGACCGTGAACTAGCGCAATTTAAGATGCCTTTGCCTAGCAGTACAGACGGACGTAAGCATAAGCCAAAGATCCTAACGGAGGAGCGCTACATCGAGGAGATGTCCAAGATCATACAGCGTGACTTTTTCCCCGATCTGGAACGGCTGCGTGCACAGAACGACTACCTCGATGCAGAGTCGCGTCGTGACTTCCTGCAAATGGCTGAAATACGGGCGCGTTACAGCTTGAGTCGTGGCTCCAACGCAAATAGCAGACGCAACAGTCGCAACAATGGTAAGCTCCTACGGGTTTGTGTGACGATGATCCTTAACATATTACTTTATTGTACATTACAGCAATGTCGCCAGCAACATTTGAGACGCCGTTAAGCACAGCCAACGCAGGTGCAACTCCACTTCCAAACACTCCGAACTCCACCACCAGCAGCCAGAAGAGCAGTGTTAGTCAGAGCACTGCCGAAGGTGGTTGCCAGGATGCCATTTCGCGTAAAATGTCGCTGGACAGCTTCCTGCACAATTACACCAGCGAGGATAATCAGAGCTTTCAAGAAATCATCGAAACAGCTGAGAGAAAACTGCGACAGAAGTACGCAGTTCTTTACAATCATGAGCAGCTGTCCACGGATCAGCTACAGCGAGCCCTGCTGCTGCCCGGCATTGAGGAGCAGTTCGATACACCCGATCCATTGCGCAAAATCGAGACATGGAAGTACACCAACAAGAACTCTGTCATGTATGTGCCGGATGGCGTCGAGATGTCCGAACAAGAAAATGTGAAGCACCAGGATCGCAAACCAATTATACGACACGATGCCACAAGACTGCCGGCAACGATCCAGGTGGAGGCAGAAACGAACCCTCCGGATGCCAATGCCAATAAAAATCCAACTAGCGAGGAGTCAAGCACAAACACGCCCAGAATTCGAGGCTTTGATCTGTTGCGCTCACCGTCGCCGCGACCCGGCAAAGCCTTCTCGCCAATCATGACCTGGGGCGAGATCGATGGCACGCCCTTTCGTCTGGACGGCGGGGATACACCGCTACGCCACATGCCCGGACCCTCGTTTCACATCAATGAGAACTCACGTCGGGAGAACATTGCCATTGCGCTAGCCGAGAAGGTTAGCGAAAAGATGCGCAACCAGAAGCAACAGGCTCTCAACACAGCACGTCGTAACATCGGCTCGCCCTTTGTGCGGTCCAGCATGGAGCGCTTGGCGAGCATGTCACCAGCTGCCCGACGCTTAGCCACAGGCAAACTGGGACTACGCAGCACTCACACTCCACTGCTGACGCCTTCGCCCGCGACGCGCAAGCGCAAGGCTCCGAGTGTGGTTCGAACCATGCCATCGACGGTCAATAGCAAACAGACTCCGGCCAAGAGCACAGCCACCGGTGCTGTCACGCCCATCGACACGGGCTCCACTCTGACAGACGATCTACTCAAAATTCCAGCGAAAAGACGCAGCGCTGCAGCCGATTTCTTTTGAATTGCTTCAAGTTTGTTTCAATATTTTGTTTAACGAGCTTTTTATTCGTATTTAGTTAACATAGCGTAATATAATTTTATAGAACCAGATTAAACTTTCATTTATATTTATTGTATGTAATATATATGTATGTATATTTCGATCAGATATTTGTATTTCTAGTCCCGGTAGTCCACATGATCCCCCGACTTGAATTTCTTTGCCTGTAGCACCTGCACGAATTTGAGCACCGTTTGCTGTGGCGTGAGCATCGTCTTCGATTCACGCTGTTCCTTGAATGCGGCCGCCAAGCCCGGATCGTGTGACTCTGTCTGCACCTGAAGCGTCATTTGTGTGTCGATGACACCAGGCGCATAGTTTAGCACCAAAGTCTTGCCCGCCGACTCCTCCAGGGCCAGCACACGGAAGTACATCTCACGTGCCGCCTTGACCGTGCAATAATATGCCATCGAGGGGAATGGTTCCAGAGCGGCCAATGTGCTAAGATTCACCACCAGCTTGGGAATACCGGCAAAGGTGCGCATGAATTCAGCATTCAATGCCAGCGCCGAGAATAGGTTGATGTGATAATACTGCTCCAGCACCTTGGTGTCGCCTATCTCGCGAGCATGCTTCGATGTGTCTCCCAATGTGCCCGCATTGTGCACCACAATTGCACGCTCGAACTCCTTGCAATCTTTGCCCTGCAGCGTCTCGTCAAGAATGCGCGCAAAATCCGAGCTATCGGCTGTGGCCAGCTCCAACAAATACGTGTGCACTGCCAGCTCGGGACGATCTGCTAGTATGGTTGACTTGGTCTCCTGCAGCAGAGACTCGCTGCGGCCCATCAATACGACCATCGATCCCGCTGCCTTCAATTGGCGCGCCAGCTGTTGGGCCATCTCGCGACCAATGCCACGCGAGGCGCCAGTCACCAGCAAATATGTGCGCTGCTCCAAATTCATGGCGAAAGGCAAGTTTTATTCCGTACCCACGAGCTGCTGCGTCAACAGTTGGTTGCAGGTTTATTGTGACTGTCGACCAAAGGCAGCTTTCAAGCAGCTTCCTCGAAAGCTTTGAAAAGTGTATGTATCTGTATCAGTTTATACCATCAACAAAATATACTATATGTGTGTGCGTGTGGCTGCATGTGTGTGTGCTGCCGCTGTTGAGTCTTCTATAGGTTGTGACACTTGTAAGTTTAATTGGTTTAATGCTCGTGCCTAAGCCACATTAGTGTATCAAGTGTCATAACTATATCGATAATAAATAGAGCCTCTTTTTGTCGTGCTTTGTTCCCAACTTTCGCATTTGGGAAGTTTGATGAGCTTTTGCTTGCTTACACACACATGTTTGCGTATAGGCATATGTATGCCGGCATGTACATATGTATGTGTGTACATATTTACGTTTACGAGTTTTACTCTGTCCAATTTAGACATATGTAGCTATGCATAGTTGCTTAACCGCTTTGATTCGCTTGGCCTGACATCGGCATAAAAAGGTTATCGGCTCTACATGCTGCTCGCATTCAAATGATAATTGCTTATTAATTGTCGCACTTAAGATCGCATAATAAACCTGCAAATGAATTTAAACAGCAGCCGCTTATCAATAGCCCTCTGTTCGTACAGTGCGGAATGCTAGTGCAGTTATTGTCAAGGTCGAAATAACTAAAATACATACTTAATGATATTGTGAAAACTTGAGTAAAAATGAATAAGAGATTATAAAAAGCTTGTCTCTATTTTTTAAATGAATATTGAGAGTCTGTAGAGCACTGTTTTTTCAAAGCTCCAAACGTATACACACATACATTCATATACATATGTATATTAGAAAATGAAAGTACACTGAACAAATTAATGCAAAAAGTAATAAAAGAAAATTGAGCTAGTTTTAGGACATATCGTACGGATTTAGAAAATAATAATACACTGATAAAAATAATAGGCTTACAATGTTTCTCATTTTTTATTTTTAGTTCTTAATTTTATTCAGTTCGTTTATAATTTTATATTATTTTTATTATCATATTTTATAATTGAAAAAAAAAAAATTTAATTATTTGGTATTGAATGTTTTCTTCCTCGGTTTTACATTAAATGAGTATAGTGTTTTAAGCTTAAAATTTAAGTTAAGCTAATAAACGATTGATGCACTTAAATATCATCCAATTACTAACGATTTCGTGCTTGCCAAACATCAAATGTTTGCAATTAATGCTTTACTTAAACGCATGAATGTACAAATGTATGTATATGTGTTTTTGTGTGTGCGTAGACAGTGTAATTATTTCGGCATGGCTCAGTTGCCTCGCTCATTATGGCAACATTGTTGCTGAGCCGGCGATTGTGATTGGGTCTTATCAGCGATAATGTTGCGTTGCTCTCGGAAGACTTGCGCTTTTTAGTGAATGGTTAATCGAGCAAAGAGATAACATTTGAGTCATGCCCCCGGTATAGCAGAGCTGGGATAGATAGAGAGGGAGGGACATTCCAATAATCAGACTGCTGTTGAACAGAATTTATATTCACGTTTTGTAGGTGTGTGTGTAAACTTGATTTTGCTTGAATTTCACGCAAAATGTATCGATAACAAAATTAATGAATGCCATACCTAGCAACAGGGTGGCCACTGGCCCGTAAGGCTCCATGGCATTTGGTAATTTATGTGTGCTTTTTCGATTTCAGACAAATTGGAAACTTGCTGTGCTACAGTTTTATATAAATTGAATTTGTACACGCTGTGAATGTACTAAAAATTCGCTGATTTTAGAAAATGTATTATTTTGCTCGAAAAAACTTTTACGAAATTGCCACGCCTACTGCAAGCGAACAGGTTGAACCTTTGACAATTATAGAGATTATAGTCAGTGATGTCGGGAAAAGAAGGAAAAGAGGCGAAAATGTCTGTAAAATACGGAAATGGCTGAATATTACGAAAAAGGACAGAAAACAGGATAAACAATTTTTTCGTATAAATTAGCAGTTTATACTACATTTGCAGATTCTGCAGTACGCCTTATTGTTGTCGTCTTCATCTCGAGCTATCCACGACTTGAAATCGGGCTGCTGTAGCCTTGGACATTTTATCACTCTATTCGAATTGAATACAATTACAAACGATATCTATAAAACATACAAAGCACCTGCACAATTCAATTTTTGGCACGGCTCTTAACCAAATATCGGTACACAATTTAGCATATTTCAAGTGTTCTGCAATATTAAATAATAGAATTCTGTTGCATCCACAACCGATCAACTGGAAGAATAGCCAACCAACTGGAAGAATATGAACACGATTCGCATTCATTCTGGACAGATCTGTCCGAAAAAAGCACAAATTGGCATCACTGGTTATAGTTCGCACGTTCATACCAGTTAATCGCATCATCAGGCCAAATCTATTTAAGCTGTTTTTTTTGAGAAAGCTTGTTATAAAACTAATCACAGCTCATATTCTGGCTGTTTAATTCATTATCTCTATAAGATCGGCCAAAGATCAAGCCCAACGACATGCTGCACACATCAATACCCTTATCAGAACCCCATTTAAAAATAAAAATAGCTTTGTTTTGTGTTTCGTTTTCGTGTGTCTCGTTTGCGAAGCACGCAAATTGTACCGTTAGTAGCACAAGGATCAGCAGCCATATTTTATTCAAATCCGTATTCAGTTGGACAAAATCTAGGTCGACACCGTTCGCCATGTTAAAAAGCATGTCAGTGGCAGTTCGTGCCCGTGCGAGCCAATTGCGATAAGAGATTGCAATTGGATGCACAGACCACGACTGCATTACTACTCATAAGAAGAAGGTGTCGTAGTAGTCCACGTCATGGCCGGACACAAAGGCGGTCTTCTCCAGGATGTTGATCAGCTTGAGCGTGGACTTCAGCGGCTCGACTCGCGGCAATTTTCGCTCTGGCGGCATCTCGATCAGCTCCTCGGGCGTCAGAATGTTGCCGTTTTCATCGCAATGGGTGCGATGCGTCTCGAGCAAGCCGGGCGCATAGCTGAGCACATGCACATTGGCGCGCGCCTCCTCCGAGGCCATGCCCCGGAAGTACATGTCACGCGCCCGCTTGCACGAGCAGAGCAGCGTGCTGTAGACCAACGGGCGCACCTGCAGCGATGAGGTCACATTGATGGCCAGCTTCTCGATGCCCCTCAATTGGAAGGCGTTCAACCAGCGTTGATTCAATGCCACCGGCGCGTACAGTTGATGCTGCACATACTCGAGCCAGGTCTGCTCCGTCTGCGGCTCCAGCAGCATATGCGTTGCAGTCTCGCCCTCGTTGTGCACCATGATGGTGCGCTGGAAGGGCACATCTCCGGCCAGCAGCAGGCTCTGCTCCAGCAGCTGCACGCCATTGCTGTGCTGGGCATCCCAAACGCCAGGGACTATGAGGACCGCATCCGATGTCAGCTGCTGTCTCAAATCCTCCAATTTCTCGGGATTTTCGTCCAGGATGAGCGCCATCGAGCCGGGTGCCAGGCGGCCGCACAGCTCCTGGGCAAGCGTCTGGCCAAACGGATTCGAGCAGCCGCTCAGCACCAGAAACGTGCGCACACTTAGATCCATTCTCTTCGCTGCCATGACGACCTGCAACAGGATGCCCGCTGTAGACTGACTGCTGTTCCGAACACTTTTGACTGTACAACTGTACTGATCCAACCGATGTGCTCCAAGCGAAATGCTAGACTCGGTTGCGGCTGATAAGCGGCCTGTGTACCACGTGTGTCTTATATGTGGGGGGAATCTCAATTGAATTGATGAGACTTAAGCTGATATTGCGTCAAGTCAACTGTCCTAATCTCACTGACTGACTGACTCGCTCGCTGGCTGTCTATGCCTCTGTGTCTATCTATCTGTCTCCGGGTTTGCTTCTCTGAGCTCAGCGTTCCGCGCGCTTTGCGCTTTTATACTTCGTCCGCTTGGCGATAAGGTGATCGAACTCTGCCTCCCCTGCCTTCTGTTTCGCATTCTGTTCATTCTGTTGCCGTGCGCATCCACGGCGGGTGTCACCATGACCATTTGTAATTAACCAAATGGCTGAAAGTCACAATGGAGCACGCGTCTGTCGCATGATCAGCGACGCAGCTGAAGCTGCTGCTTCCGTAGTATATCTTGTGGAATCAAAACAATATATTTATTTATATATATATTGGGACTACTATAAAGAGTGAACATTCCCATAGTTGAACAGCCCATACTTGCCATATGGCAAGGCCGATAACCTATATACCCCTTCAACTTCGTTTTATGAATCACTTTGTATACTCGTTCACGATGGGGATGGAGTATATTGGGTTTTCGCTAGTTTCGCTATTCTAAAAACTTGAATGTTAAACTAAAATTAAATCACTCATTCTGATTAAATGTAGACATTTATTTTGTCCGCCCATTGAAGAATAATAAATCATTAAACATAAATGTTTGAATCAATGTCTAAACTGAACGAGTATCATGCAGTCAGTTGCGCCTAATTGAAACGTTATTAATAGCTTGATTTTCATCGTTTTTAGATCAATGTATACTTTATTAAACAAATATACCTATCATTCACCTTATCTAGACTTCACTGTAGTTACCTAATTATCCCAGCTCGCTTGAATATGTACATATTGTATATAAGTATGTAAAATAAAATTGATTTCTTAAGTATTAACCTCTAGATTAGCTTTTTGTGTTACAGCTTGTTATAGAATCTAATAACTGTCGTGTGTTAATTATTTAAAATGCTCTCTGAACCGTTGGCATGCGATTATTTTTTTAATTGCATATATTAATTAAAATATACATATGTATATTATAGAGTATTTTTAATTTATATACTGTCTGCTATGTGCGCAGATTACAACTGAAAACAATTTGCAAAAACTTTTTACAAAACGTCGACAAAAATCAATAAACAAAATTATTGCCCCGACCGTTTCAATTTGAAATGGAAGTAACGCTGCGCATATTTACACTAATATCGATTAATATTCAATATCGATAAATGTGAAGCTGCAAGCAAATGCACGTAACTGTGCATTCAATGTGTGCAAATGTATGTATGTATGCATGTATGTATATACATATATATGTGCGTCACATCCATAGACAAATCAACATCGCAAATTTGCAAACACGTCTGCTATGTTATTTACTAAAACAGAAATTAGGTCAGTGGCCTATTTTCGCTACCCACGGACCAATGGAAATGGCAAACCCTGACGTTGACCGGGGAATTGGGACGCGGCGCTAATCGGGCAAATCGTTCGCAAATGCTCTTGATTTTGCACAACTTTCATTGTTAATTTTTTGGCAGCGTCGGCGCCGGCGTCGACGTTGCCGTCGGCAGTGACTGAGACAGAGACAAGATAGAGACAGAGACAGCAAGAGAGAGACAACGAGAGTATAACATTAGCGATATGAATTTCATGGAATTTGCAAAGTTTCGCGCGGTTTAGCGTTTATCACCACATCCCACAACATCCACTTGTCGCTGCACACTGGGCGTTGGGTCATTGGGCACGTGCTGCCGCCGAGCGAAAGCAGCGATGCGCAGCTGAACTCGCCCCAAGAGCCTGAACTGCGACCCTGGCGCGTAGAAATGAGAAAGTGTCCCTGCCCAATGGAGCTGGCGACGCTGAGTTTCATTTAAAGCGAATCGCAGACATCGTGCATATGCAATAAGAATATCAGTAATAATGCAAATAAGAATAACATAATGCACAACAACAGCAGCAGCACTAACAACAACAACAACAGCATCAACAACCTGAGCTGAGCTTTAGATCTTGGGTATAAAACGTGTGGGTCGCTGCGATGTCAATTCAAACGTTTAACGAGCTCAGAGCAGCACGCGACCGATAAGACGAGCCCCCCCAGTAACATCATACATTGTATATAAAAATATTGTAATCAAGCATTTAACAATGCACGCCAGCAAATTAGTGTTGTCTCTGGTGTTGACGCTGCTGTGCTGTCAGGGCGTAAGTAACTGGAACTTTCTACTGAGATTGGCCCAATTGTCTAACTACGATTTCCGTCATTTTCAGCTGTTGGCAGCTTGTGTCTGCTCGGAGAAGGGCACCGATTTCTGTCAGAGCTGCCAGGGACCGACGATAGTGCGACCGCGGCCCCGCTACTATGAGCCCAGCGAGGTGAACTTGTCGCCCATCGGCGACAATTGCTGGTGCAGCAAGCAGTTGATCGAGCCCGCCCAGCTACCGAAGACCTGCGGCAAAGTACGTGAGCTCTTTCAATATGTGCACGCATTTAACAATCTGTTGAGCCGCCGCATGCTTGAGGGCGCCATCGAGGCCAAGACATTGGCGGCACAGCGTCTGGCCGAGCGGCTGCAGCGCTTGGAGCAAGCCGACTGCCACAAGAGGCGTGCCGTGCACATGGTGCCAGCGAGCTATGGCTACGGCCTGTGACTAACCCACTGAAGTGGCTAACAAACTTAATCATAAGAATTGTAGATCAACCCCAAACCAGACTATACAGTAGTATACACGCATGCCCAGTTTTCGCCCCAGCACAATAAGCTAACACGCACATACATACATACACACACATGACCACATCCTCTGTAGAAGCTGTCAATGCCACGATCAACGTTTCCGCATGCAAGCGCTATCAGCGACCGAATGTGCGCCGCAATAGGCCAACCATAACAACGTTGTGCTTGCATCAACATAATTATCATCATCATCATCATCATCAGCAGCAGCAGTCACACCACAATAACATCATCATCGTCATCATCATCATCGTAATGGACTTAGGCATCATCGGTGGCTCTGTCGTCATTATCATCCCGTACGTGCGCCAAGCATTAACAACAGCAACATCGACAACAACAACCTGCTTGCAATGATAGAACTTAGTCAATACGATACCGATACCCAAAACTCTCGTCATTTCCACAGAAGCCACCATGCAAACCCACCTGCGGCTGTCAGAAGTGCCAAGATAGCAGCTACGCCAGCTCCAGCAGCAGCAGCAGCAGCAGCAGCAGCTCCACATACGATAAGTGAGTATTTGAATGCTCGGCCTACGATCCACAGTTGCTATCAATGAAATCTATTTTAGCATTGGCTATGCGGCCGAGAAGTCGAGGGATGATAGCCCACCGGCTGATCCCATCAGCGTCAGCCTGGCCGTCCAGGCGGGCAAGGCTATCAATGTGCCCGAGGCCAAGCTGTCCTATGGATTCGCACAGAAGCCCGTGGATGGACAACAGAAAATCTTCTTCTCCAATGTGCCCGAGGAAAATCTGTTTAAGCTGAAGAGCGATGTCATCACACTGAAGAAGCGCAACTATGTGGCCAAAGAAGAGGAAGAGGAGGAGTACATAGAGGAAGAAGAGGAGCAAGCCGCCGAGAGTGACGAAGCGGCGCCGCAATTGACATACAAGCAGCTTGGCTACATAACCGAACAATTCAAGAATCCCAAATTCAAGAAAATCATCTCATCCAAATCCAGCTACAGCTCCAGCTCAGGCAGTGAAGGCTACGGCAAGGTGGGTGGCAAAGTTTCGGTCGACTGCGGCTTCAAGCCCGGTCGCGTCGCCCCCTATCGCAGTGCCCGTCGCCAGGAGCTGGATAGTGGCAGCTACTATTAGGTAGTAAGAGCAGAGTCTGTAAATAATTGTATATGAATAGGGATGGATACAATGATGATGTATGATGTATGTATGTTTTAGTTAGCGTTTACAATTTATTTAAAATACACGATCCTTTTTAACAGTTAGCTGCATTTTGAAGTACATATGTATGTATGTATATATATTTTTCTTTTATCGAGGTGAAGGAGATGGCATTGCTGCTTATAAAAACTCTTGATAGCATTGAAGTGAAAATATCACATGAAACGGGCCTGTAATGCATTAATCTGAAGAGCACGCTCATCATGCTTATTTTTCTTTCAATTCGAATGTCAAGACAATCAGATAAACAATACATAAAAAGTGAATTCCACGTAAAAATGTTCGATAAGCAAAGAACACACGATTAAATAAACATTTGTATCAGCAGTTTTTCAATTTTTTTGCTGCCCTAAAAGTATACCATACATAATGTTGGCTGTGGGTCGCTAATAAAAGAATAAATTAATTTTTTGAGACACACCACAGAAAATGCCCTTTAACGGCCGAAAGTTTAGAGGTCTTTAGATTTTCGATGGCTGACTTTAGCCAGTATATCGATTAATCGATACATCAACTCCACTACAATCGCTGCACTTAACAGTAAGCAGTGCGAAGCAGTTGCAAATCAAACACAAATGTTTATATAATTTTTCTGCCCCCAAACCCAAGTGCAACACTTGATTCGGCACTGAAATCAACGAACGCTGGAAACATGACTTTTGACAGAAAATATCGCAAGCGCAAATTATTTGAAAAGGTCAGCGCGAGCAACAACAACAGCAACAACAGCAACAGCAACGCGAACAAGTTGCAACAGCAGTGGAAAGCAACAACAATTGGAGTGAAAAAAACATTGTTCAAGTTCAAGTTCAGCCGCAGTCGTCGCCGCCGCCGCCGCTGGCTAGAACAGACAGCACTCCAGACGTGGTCGCTGGTGCTGCGTGAGAGATTGCACTGGATGGAGTCGAAGCCGATATAAAGAATGCGACGAGCCAAGCTTGGGCTAGTTGCCAGAGCGCCAGATACCTAAACAGACGCCGTTTGATAACATTTGATATACATATATATATATATAAATATTTATATATATATATAAATACATTTATATAGCTATACATACCATGTCGATCGCGATGGCGCTACTGCCAATTGTTGTCTTGGCGCTGCTTGGCCATGTTGCAACAGCCCCCACGCCCGTTCAGGTTGTCTATACGGGAGAGGATGGCTGCGCATGCCCCACCCAGCTGGGCTACCAGCTGAATGTGCCCAATCCGAGCAAGCCCAAGAAGTACGAGGGCGGCCAGTATGGCTATCGCGTGGACAAGCCCGTGCAGGCCAAGGCCAAGATAAGCTACAGCTTCGACTTTACCGTCGAGGAGCCGCGCACAGCTGCGCCGCCCACAGTCAAACCGGCCAAACTGTACGCCAAGGTGGACCGTGTTACGGTCAACAAATCAGGTGGGTAACACCCGAGCCTAATATGACAATGCACATTAACCTCATCTCTCTCTCTCTCTCTCTCTCTCTCTCTCTCTCTCTCCCGCCATCATTGCAGATTGCCGCGCCCGGGACAAGTCGAGCTGCAGCTGCAGCAGCTGCTCCGCTGCCAAGCCAAGGTACGTAGCCCAGCAGCAGCAGTCCATGGCCATTGCCAATGGCAATGCCATACGTCGTCGTCGCGACCTACGTTCGCATGGGTCGCTGCTGCGCAAACGCATAATGCGCCAGCAGCAGTTGCAGGAGCGTCCGGTGCGTTATGTTAAGCTCTATCACAAGGATCTGACGCCACAGCAGCAGCAGAAGATGCGTATATTTGGGCTGGTGCCCCCACAGGAGCACGCGCCCACCAAGATCAAGCGTAAGACAAAAAAGACATCGGCCCAGGGCGTGGGGCATGGCAAGCGCTGGCTAGGCCTGGGTCGCCACTTGGTCAAGCGCGACATCAAGGGTGAGTATGATCTGCTGGAGCGGGACCGTGCCAATATTGATTTGACGGCGCCAGAGATCATACAATACATGCCGGAGACACTGAATCCCAGTTTCAAGCGCGGCCAGTGCCATATGGGCTGCGGCGCCATCACAGCCAGCAGCCCAGGCGATGCCGCCGAGGAGGCGCCACAGTTCAGCAGCACAGGCAGCACCGAACAGCCCGAGATATCGGAACGAAATACCGAGCAGCCAGATATATCGGAGCAATCGGAAATGCCGCCACCATCACCGCCACCACCATCGTTGGTCAACACGATACCGGCCAAGCGCTCGGCGCTCAGCTATTTCCCACAGCAGATACCCTCGCCACTGTTGGGCAACTACAATGAGTACAGATTTGTGGATGACTCGCAGCTGCGAACGCTGCTGTCGACCACCTCGGTGCCAGATCCACTCGAGCAGAGCTCCACGCCGCTGCAATTCGCTGGCGATCTGCAGTCGATCAATCCGCGCACCTATGCACCGCCAGTGCTGGGCATCGCCGATGGCTATCCGGTGGAGCACGTGGCTAACAATCAGCTGGATAGCATCATATCGGGCATTGTTTACAAGCATCCGGAATATGTTGATACCGATTCACAATATGGCGGCGTCTTGGTTGACCCCGAGCCCGAACAAAGAAAGCAAACGACCGACTTTCTCAAGAAGCTCTTCGATGGCCGTCTGGGCGGCTGGGGCTTCGACACGTCCACCGAACCAGAATCGGCGCTCAGAGCTGATTACTCGACGACGCCGTCGACAACCTATGGCTACAATAGCCACAATCACGACGGCTACAGCTTGGATACGTACAATGTGCCGCCCATCACAGACTATCTGCGCGCCTGGTTCTAGGCACCACTCGCCTAAGCACTTAACTAACTCTGTGGGCTGATAGATCATTGTATTATACACATATATATATATATATATTTAGTGCGGTTGTTTATATAGGGGGATGTCTGTGGTTCAACTTCTATGCTAGTTGCCTAGTTTATAATAAACTTAATACGAAAACAAATTACAACACAAATAAATGGGTAAATTATTGGCGGCTTTTTTTTCTCACACTCTGATTCGATTCTCGTTGCAGCTACTACGGCCACGGCAACGGCAACGGAGACGGCGGCAACGGCTACGGCTACGGCTACTAAAGAAGATGACCCAATGGGCCAGCCAAAAAAATTCTGCTGAGCCCCGCAAATCTGGGCGCGCATTTATTTAGGCCAGTGGAACAATGCCCGCTCCACTTGTACAGTTTCTCTATATATATATATATGTAAAAATCTTTGTATATATGGTTTGTAAATTGTATTTAATTTATTTCTCATATTGCACTTTTCATCGTTCTGTCCCCCCGTCCGTTCGTGTGTGGAGCGTTTTCTGTTTACGTTCACAATTCAACGTCAACTTCTGAGTATGCTCCAAAAAGTATTCAATAAAAGTCTTTTGCTTTGTCTAACTACAAATATGTGCTTATTTCTTACTATCTAAATAACAATTATTACATGTAAATGTTTCAGATTGTCTACACTAACCATATGAATACAGACTATGATGATGTATTTACACGTAGTTAAACCATAATTAATAATTACTTTATACATATGTAATTTAAACATACTAATACATGCATGTTTTCTGCATACTCTCATATGTATATACATATGTATATTCGTGCTCCTATCAAGGTTAACAGCTACTCTCACATTCTTCTTTTGTCGTTCACGTTCATGTTTTAGTTGCCTTGAAATGCTAGTAAATTTGAACAGGAAGTCGGTTTCTTATCGATGCATCAAGTTTGCCGATTGTTTGGCTATTAGATTTCTGCTATCTCTGATAGATTAGCTTTTGCATCTCTTTTTCTCTTTTGCACTTTTTCCAGTTTCGTTGCTTTTTAACTATCTGTTCGAGCATTTATTATCCACATACCATACACATTCCAAGCGTATTTCACGATTTTTGCGTGCCAAATAAATGCAAATGCAAAAGAAAATTCGAGTAGAAATTTCTCAGTCATAAATTAATGTGTGATGTACATACATACATACATACATACACATGTATGCATGTTGATAGATCTTGCTGATGTTTGAATCACAAACGACTTAGCATTAACAACAACATGAACTTTAACCTTTACAAAGGTAAACAGCTCTCAATCTTTCTGCAGTGGCATTCCGGCCGTATACTCAGTTCCACTTTTGCGGAAGTTGCAAGCTGCTCTCAATGCACAAGTAAATATTCATTATTTATGCCATCCTCTGTCTTATTTGCTCTCGCTCTCTCACTCACGTGCAACCGGAAATGGCTGCCATGCTGGCCGCCATCAATGACAAGTGCATTGCGTACTAGCCACAGCTATTGAAGCCTCGTACGCGCCCATTGAGCGGCCAGTGCTAACCATTATTGTTGACCCTGGGCCAGCTGACGCATCAAAGATGAAGCAAGGTTGACAGCGATGATGCAGTCGATGATGCATCTGATATCTGGGCATAGATCACGTCTGTGCGCACGCTGCCCGCTTTGGCTAGTGCACAAAAGCTCACGCAGCTACAATCGAGTATTTAAGTCCAGTTCACTTGGAGCGCTGAGTTCAGTTGGAGAGCCCGAGCAGAGATCACACATCTAGCTAACTTAACATATCAGAATGGGCGCCCCTGCCAACTCTGTTTGGCTGCCGCCGCTGCTAATGCTAACGGTAATGGCATTGGCACAGCTGGCAATAGGGCAGGTGAGTTATCGGAAGGCCCTAAAGCATAACGAGCGCAAATAAACTCTGAAATCAATTACCATCAGAAGAATGACACCAGCAACAGCAGCAGCAGTCCGAGAAGCCTCAGCAGCAGCACCACAATCCGTCCCAGCTCCGATGCTGATTTGGTAATTGGCGGTGATCTGAATAGAGCAGCTCGCGTTGAGGAGATGGACAAAGAGCTGGAGACAGACCTGGACAGCAATACGGTGACACCGAAAGTTGTAGAGGATGGTCAGTACGATGTGATCGATGTTATGGCCGCCACAAGCGCCGGAGTCGGCAAGCCCAAGAGCGGCCAGACGACGCGCATCTATACCACCGGCGATGTGAACGATGATTTCTGGCTGAAGCACTTGGGCGATGACTTCAAGCATGCCA